CAGAAAATTGACCAAAAAAACAATTGACAATTAAAAATTCACGCAAAGTCTTTCTCTACTAAAGAAAACTATGGGTTACGCCCTCTAACTACTTGTCATTGATCCCCCCCCCCTTCGAGGCCTGAGGCGCAATCAATCTTTCTATGCAAACTTAACATGAGAATGTAATTTTGTAGGTAGTTTGATGCAGTGCAAACTCTTTAAAAAAATCTTCTGATTTACTTCTTTTACATTCTTTGAGAAAAAGAATACTTTTTTTATCCTGATAGCAGACTGTATTTTTGTTCTTGCTTGCAGCATTATGATCTCTGAAAAATCTCAGTCAGCCTGAGAAAAAGCTTTTCTGGAAAATTTAACCAACAGTCAAGTTACTTACCTAAAGTTACAGGGTTTTAAAAACATTATATCATACCTCATAAATAAAACATTGAAAAATTGTAAAAAGCGTAATAATTGTAGCGTGAACAGAAAAGAAAATATCTGCTGGCTCCACAGGAATTAGACCTCCAGGGTTGGCTTGGAAATACTCCTCCTAGAACATAAAATAATAAAAGAATGAAATCCAGACGTAACAACCTTCAATCAATACATCAATACTTGAATAAAATTATGAGGTCACAAAAAAGAAATGAGAGGAAATGACTCATCACATGTGGTTCTCAGGTTAATAAGAAGAATTGGTGGAGATATACGGGATCTTTCAGGATTTGAAATTGCAAAAATCAATTTCAGGATAATAAATATTGCACCGGTCAAAACAGAAGTTTCACCTACAATAAATTGATGTCTGCCATTGAGCTTGTTGATGTCTGTTAGTTGAGCCAATTTGCTAAACTGTGTCACATGGTCTTAGAAGATGAACTGAGCTTACGAGTGATTTACTAAACTAACAGTAAAACTTTCATTTTTTGACAGCTACAGCCAAGAGAAAAAGTCATTCAAGAGTGCAATAAATTTGGGAGGTCAAAAGGGAGGGTTGAAGTATGCGCTAAAAATCTGGTACATTACATAGTAATCAATGTGGTAGCAAAATCTGTAGTGGGATGCGTAAAAGTGCATTCATGATAGTTGTTAATCAAAGAGGGATTAAAAATTGGACTTTACGAGCTCAGCTTACTCCAAAATCAATGGCAGTATTTGCTAGGCACTTGGATTCAAGATCTAATTTTTATCCTTTTCAATTATTTATGTCATTTAATTATTCCTTATTCAGGATGTAGCACAAAAGTACAATGCTAACCTGCAAATAGAAGTCAAAAATAGTGTGGTGATTGTACAAAGGATGATGTTGCTGCCATGCTTGCTTACATGATGCAATTTATGCCAAGCATCCAGGTAGAGTACTATAATAGAGTGGTATGTAGTTTTTGCGCTCTCAAAATATGCAAGCATTATATTTCCATGGTTAAAAATTTGTAACAGATTCTTACTTGTAGTTTTCGAAGGTCAAAAATTATAAGAAGCAATCAAGAATCTAGAGGTAAAGTGGGCACTCGCATTTCCCTTCTTATAACAGAGAACAACTTAATTTCCCAGCCAGGAAATGAGAGTCTCAGATTGTGGAATAGTTGCGCAGAGGCGCATAATTGACAAGTCCTTTTCTGCAGAGCATGATGGGAGAATATGGATCTCAAGCAGTCATGACAACAGTAGGTTTTTTGGCCATAGACTTTCACTTCAAGTTCCGTTATTTTATCAAGTAGAAATAATTTTCAGTTGAAACTTTTAAAACACATACTTCTAGTTGCTGTACATTCACTTCATCCATGAAAAGTCTTAATTTCAACTCTGACAAGGAGAACTCATGCTCTGACCGGTCCGTGACTATACTATGCTAGTATCTACTTCAGTTCTAGATCCCTAGAAACAATTACATACAAGCCAGCCTTATTTTGACTCAGCAGTGATAGCTGTAGCTCACTATCACTAACTCTCATTAAGAGATTACTCTTCAATATTCCAATAATAATAATAAAAAAAGGTTACATTTAGGTAAATTAATTGGAGAATATTTGAGAAATTACTTGGAATGTAGGTGAAAAATAAAGCCCGAGATTGAATGCTGAGTACAGGGTGAATCCAATTAGATTCAGCATCAGAAAATCAAAATTTAGACCAACGACACTGCAACATAAGAAGGAATAACAATGGAATTAAATAGCTAGAAATATTTGTGTTATGCAAATGGTATAGTGATGTAGTCATGTTCAAAATATAATGAGGGAAGAAGAAACAAAATAATTAAATATACACAAACAAGAAAAAACTCAAATAATCGTTTTCAATAAATAAAATTCAATTCAAATTTCATTCAAATGATTGACTCAAGTTATTCAACAAATGGTAGAGAGCAAAGGACGCTAACTTGTATTGTGAGATAAAAATTTGAAGACGGACATTAAAAATTAATGCTGCTGCTGATGTGAAGCAAATGCTTGAAAATTAAAGTAAAGCTGAGATATGATCATTTTTATTTTGAAAAATCTACAGGCAGAAAAAAGAACTTTAGCGCTTGCGACAAGTGAGGTACCTTTACAATCGTCTTCTAACCGCGCTAACTATATGAAGTTTGCAAGTCTTAAGGGGATATGTTTCGTCAAATCGTTTTTACAAGGCCATACTTCTGTAATTTTTTTTTTTATACTTGATACTTTTAAACTCAGTTATAGCTCATGAATAAACAGACTGTTTGATTTTGGCACTTTCTCTTTCCGTTTGTTATATTACACAAACTGATTGCGGTGGATGCACCGGCTGTGAGACAGTATGTTTGAGTTTTTTGCAAACGTGCGTTAAAATTCAGCATAAAGCTGAAAATCTCGATACAGAGGGAAAAAGCTTATATGAGCACAGTTTTCCCTCAAAGAGATATGCTGTTCGGTGCAACACTAGTTACATCCATTCAGGAAGTATTGAGTGCATAAAGTGTATTGAGATTTTCAGCTTTAGGCTGAATTTTAACGCACGTTGACAAAAGACTCTAACATACTGTCTTACAACCCGTGCTTCCATCGCAATCAGTTTGTGTAAAACTGCCTTGCCAAGGCTTATGCGGAGCTGTTTAGATAATCGCTCACTAGATGGTGCAAGTTTACTTGCTGCCAGCATCCGCTTGCCCAAGTCTCGGGCTGATTTTCACGACCTCTCGAGCTTGGTGGCAGAAAATTCAGGAGGCTGCACTGCACTGAGGATTGGCTCAACAAGGCTGAAACGCGTCTGCAGTTGCCATCCTGAATGGACGTAACTAGTGTTACACCAAACAGCATATCTCTTTGAGGGAAAACTGTGCTCATATGAGCTTTTTCCCTCTGTATTGAGATTTTCAGCTTTATGCTGAATTTAACGCACATTGGCTAATCTCTGACATGCTGTTTTTATATTACCTAATATTTGTATAAACTGCTTTGTTCTAAGAAACCGTAAATGCAGGATTATTTTTGGACTGAGATAGGAGGGTTCATTCTGTGCTTTCCAATCTGCCAGAAACTTATTCAAACATCATGAAGGAACCTTACTCAAGAAATGAGATCGGTAAACCAAAATGATAATTTGAATCATTCATATTAGAATAAATTATTTGTGTTTGCTTTGAAGGTGGTTGTTGAAGATATTTGTAAAATAAAAAAATTACCTTTTTCGGGTGTAATTTGTATATAGTTGAGGATAAAATGAAATTGACCATGCAGCAAAGTACAACCAACCAATGACAAAGCTGACATAGGAAAGAATTACAGAATGCTGAACATAGACTTCTGTCACAGCATGCATTGTACTGAAAAATAAAAATACACCAATAAACAAATAACGCAATGAAATAAAAAAATGAGTAATAAGTGTTCATTCCTTAAAGGGAATAAATTCTAGAAATAAATGACAAACTAGGAGGACTTAAAAAAACTCAGATACCATGAAAATAGGAATAATGAAAATTTTCCCTTTGGATACATATATATCAGTCTTTTCCCAAGTTCAGTCAGCACTTTAATAGGTTGATGTTCTTGATACTTTTTCAGCCTTCTTATTTTGAAGACAAAAAAGCAAAATAAAATTAACTAAACTCACAAAATAGCCAAGATAAAAGCCGACACATTTTGGGGTATATGTCAGAAACAGGCGAAAAACATTGAAATTATCAAACAAATCATTGAATGTTAAGCAAAGATAGATAGATCTGTACGACTAATTATTGCTGGGATGGAAAAATATGCTCTTCTAGCAAGTAAGATGTTAAAAATGAATCTTGTAATCCCCAGACTTTGGCTTGACTGCACCCACAATTCCCTTTAAATGTCCAAAAATGCCAACTTTAATGCATGATCGACAGTTGAGCCATTATCTAAGGATCATCAGATAAGTAAATTTTTGACAATCCGAGTGCTATTTTAGAATTGTAAATCTACAGTTGATTGTAGGCGTTAATGCACAGAAATCCATAGAATTTTTACAGGACTTCTTTGTGCTCAATTTGACATTCTATCTATTTGATCATGGTAGAATTACAACTAAGTTATCTTTATTCACCTGATAAAAATGTCTAAATACATATCTTTCCATTTTCTTTTCTCCTTTAAATGAAGTCAATGAATATGTTCAATAACAGTTAAAATTAGTCACTTTTAAGGAACATTCACTTTATGCATCCTGAACTTTAAATTCAAAATGACAAAAAGTTAGGACAAATAATAATATTATTTTCAAAATGTAATTCATGTCTAGTTAATATCACTAGTTCTGAAAAGGAAGGATAAAATTCACACGAAGACACTAGCAAGGATTGCACTTAGGCTTACGCCTTACTTTATAGATGAAAACAATCATGGACAAGGAATATAATAAAAGAGATGGCGTGGTTGGTTCCTATTCAACGTATTAAGATAAGGAGCTTATCAGACAGTAGTTCCAAACATTATGTCCAACAAAATATTATCTTTTACTTGATTAAAAATAATGACCTACGCTATAAAACACTATTGTTCCTGCTTATCAGATTTCACTGGCTTCAAAACAAGCAATAAGGAAAAAATTGTGTCCTAACTGAAAACAAAACACAACCTCCACAAGATCCATCCAAAACTGAGATACATATGATACAGATATACTGAAATATTCCAACTTCTCCAACTGCATACAATATTTTCATTCATTTCTCGAGGATTGTTATTTTCTGCCAAATGAGTGAGGATTAAACAAAACATAGCAAACTAAAATGCTACTACTGATTATTTTTTATGGATGCCAATGTGACTGACCAAGTCAGCATGAGAAGCTTGAAACTGTTGGTGAAAAGTAACTAAACCCATAAAAAAAAAACACCTACGCATGAATCAGTGCACGCATGACAAAACAAGATATTTTCTTCTTTCCTCCTTCCCAGGAGAAAAGAAAAAAAAATATCAATCCAAAATATCCTCCTTCAAAAGCCGATGAATAAGAAACAAATAAAACATGATCAGCTGATTTTTCTTCGCATGAATTGCAAAGAACTTCCAATTACTCAAGGATTTACTGCTTCCTTTTAATTTCTTTCGCTAAGTAAGCCGTTGTTTTTTTTTTTTTAAACGTGCTCTTGTTGTATCAAAAACACTTTTAAAGGTTCGTTTAATCAATAAAGTGAAGCTCATATTGAAAATTTCCTCTTTATCCATTTGTTAAAATAGATATGATAAGTTGACCTCACGAACACAGTAAGAATCTTGACTAATATTCCCTTCATGACCATCTGTGCTTTGATTCTTGACACAACTCTCATTAATTCTTTATGTGAGGTAAAAGTAACAGTAGCGACTTTTGATCTAATCAATAGAACTAAACTAAAAAGGCATCTCCTCCACCTTACATAAATCTAACTTGCTTATTTCTATTTCTGGTTGCGATTCTACTCGATCTATACATAGTACAACATGCTTACATACAAGTGTCAGAATTTGCTATCAGAATAGAATCTTTATTAAACTACAAATAACTCTATTGATTGTTAATAACATGTACTATATTTAACATTTAGATAGACAGAGGTGGTACTACCTGACGGCATTACGAGAAACATTGGCTGATATTGTTGTAAGCCCTGGTGATAAACCAGTGACTTCCAATTGGTGGGCTCCATCATTACTTGGTAATATATTAAAACTAGTTTCACTTAATTTAATTTTAGTTGGATTCTTTACTACTAATTGCACAGTTATGACCTCCTTTACAGGTTGCCTGGAAAACAAATAAAGAAGAGATTCAGCAAATTTTTCCTGAAAAAAATATTGTTACAAAAATTTAAGGACTGTGTGACAGTTTTTGATGATCACAAATTAAAATACTAGGGTATGAACTTTGCCTGAGGTTGCAAGCTTATATTCTTCTAATAGCCTTAATAGTATTTTAACGCACTTTTATATCAATTTTGACTTTTATAATTTCTTACGATATCCACAGAGAATATATTGATGGCCAAAGTACGAAACCATGCATCTCCATTGCAGTATAGCAAAAGTTCTCTCCAATTGATCACTGGGAGAACAAAATTCCCATTCCTGCTTTATTTTTTCGAAGAGAAACAAGCCAGTTTTATGGCTAGGATTTATACATTATATTCTGCTAACGAAAAGAAAAATCAAGGCAGTTTGAAAGATTTTGCTGTTTTAAAGAAAAAATAAAGTATAACAGGAAGTCTGCAACTTTACAAATAAGTTAAATACGTGGTTATGCTCTTCAGCCATCAATGTTTCCATGGCTTTAACTTTCACAAAACGGCATTTTTTTTAAATAGTTTTCTATCAAATACTTGAAACACCAAACGCAACTTCCTTGGTTTGAATAATCGCTTTAATCCGTGCCGTGCTAAAATATTGAAAAGCTGGCAAAGTAAGCTCTGACACAGAGAGTACTTATTCAGTATTCGATCACTTCTGATCACAGTGAAAAAATAATACAAAAATAATGATGGCAGAATAAACTTAATATTTTGAAAACATTAAAGAGTAAATTCATAATGAAATGATTTCTGACTATTTCTCAAGAACTTTGTCATCGAGAATATCATAACTAAAAAGTTGGCAAATTTTTAGATTGAGACAGAGGATCCACATTCTTGATGCTTGCAATTGGTGCCAATAGGCAAGTGGTAATAGTAGATCTCCTGTTGCATTATGAAAGTCAGTCGACATATTGAGCATAAACTCTAATTAGGCGTATTCTACAATACAGAATTATCAAAAGGGAAATTGGGAATGCAACAACGTTCTAAATCATGTAAAAGATCAGCATCGAATTTTTACCATCTTTTTTCGTTTTGTTTTTTTTTACCCTAAAATATAGATGCCTGGCAACAAGTTCATGGTTCGTTGGCTGAAATCCGCTGGAAGTAATCAGATCCTCCCCCCCCCCCCCCNNNAGAAAAATACCATAAATTACTCAAATTCTTGGCATCTTTACTCCCTAAATTAAACAGAGCTGTAATATACAGTCCATGAATACTTACGATAAACTGACAGAAAATGAATTTGTTTCATTGACTAGAAGACTTAATTTATGTGTAGAGAATAATAGTTCTGACGTCATCCTATTTGGAAGACCTGTGACAAAACAAAAAAAATTATGGTTAAGCATTGAAATAAACCCGAAAAAACGTATGGCGAACTTATGGAGTACCTTTCAGAGTTTTGCAAGTCACATTAAAATCAGATCTGAAAGACAAAGATTGATAAAAATGTCTGAAGAAGATATACACAAGTCCATAATATTTCACTGACACTCGTCTCATTCACAAATTATTACTTAATTTTAAAAACCTTCATTTGTTAAAATGCAGAGCACAGAGGACCCAAAAAAAAATTATCAAATTAGACAATTAGGCTACCCCAGGCGAGAGAATTACAATACACAGCCATGAATGGGGCAATTAAAAAATAAGTTTCTCAAAAATGATTTGAAAGAAAGGCTAGGGCTAGGGATGTTTCCTTTCATCTACAAGAGAGTTCCCTCCACAAAACTCTCAACATAAAACAATTGTAGGAAGGTAAACTAAGAGAGCAAAAAACCTCTTCAAAAACGCAAGTTCCGTAGAATGAAGATAAATTATTTCATGGTTTGATTCTCCTCAAGTGAGCTGATTGCAAGAAATTGAAAAGAAAACTGTGGAGACAATTTAACACAAGACATAAAATTGGTCAGCATATTCTTAGCGTACCATTCATTTTCATCCCATTGAGATTACCTACTGTGATTTTTACTTATTTCCCGTTTCGTGGAAATCATCAATTATTATACTTAATCAGAGAACTGTTTTTTTTTTCCCTCTTTCTTGAATGATAATCTATAATTAAATTCTGATCAAACTGCTGATGCAAACTCACTACTAAGAACCTAGAGGCTGACAAATCAGTGAACTTGTTAGATTGTGTTGCCTCAAAGATTGCAATATGTGCTTGAATACGTCTACCTAGCTGACTTACAAGAAAGAAAAAAATCAATGTTTCATAGAATTTCACTTTTTAGAGAAATCATTGAATGATACAGTGGGCTAGAAAACTTCAGTTGGTGAGAAAAATTGCCTAGAATCTGCATAGATTCTTTCCGTTCGAAAACGACTAAACGATGAAAGTTTTAAAAGTCATTGTAGAAAAATAGCTTTTAGGGTTAGGAGTGTTTCCTATTTTCAACAAAAAAATTGTTGACCTGTCGTAGAATTAAAATTAGCATATATTTTCATCAGTTCGGAAACAATCCATTTCTGAAGTTTTCAATGGCTTATATCACCAATTCATCAAGCCAAAAAAGCGAACAATTTGATACATACCTCTGCCACTCAGTTTCTCCAATAGAATTGAAAAAACGTTTTTAAATTATTGAAACCTATTAACTCCGATCAATGGAGTTCGTTTTTTGCCCTTTCTACCCCATTTGAGTTAGGTTATTTTTGAACTTCAATTGGACGATTCAATTTACTCCCTTAAAAAGTCTCTTGTCAAAGATCAACCCTAAATTTTTTGTGTTTTTTTTTTTTTTTTGGTCGTGGCTTTCCCGGAACTCCGTGTCAAAATATTTTCAAAATAGCCCCGGAGATGACGTTTTGTAGGCGATTGGAAGAGAGTGAATATGCCTGACTGACAAGCTCAACTGATTGGTAGGGGGAAGGGGGGGCGTGTGTGTTTTTGCGATAGAGATTACAATTGCAAACACAACTGTGTCAATTTCATGAGCTGACATACTGCTGCTGAAATTACACTCCGTTCAAAAGGGAACTAAGGGCCCTGGGAGAAGGGGGAGTTGTGGGAGACTTATATGATTTATAATTGTGTTTTGGTTGACGAATGCGTTAGCTGATACAAAACAGATGGTTAGGAACGCACTTGAAAGTTTCATTTAGTCCAATTTTAAAGATTTTTTTTAGAATTTTAAATACATTTGCAAGATTTATCTTAAATTTTAAACCCTTCGTTCGGCTTTGAAAGCCCTTTTAGAGCCCGTTCCAAATGACTTGTGCTTTTTCGCTGTATGCGGGGAACAGGGAACTCTACATATACAGCAAAGAAGGACAAATTATCAGCAACGGGCACTAGCACAATGACTGTCGGAATTTTTTTCCGATTGCATCCTCATATTTTTTTCTCACAGCAGTGGAACCAGTGAATGAATTTTGAAGTTTACGAAGGTTATATTTGTTTCCGTGTCCACCCTTCCCATGATAATCGTTTTGCATACCTGGTCACATGTCAAGTTTAGTGGGGGAAATTTTACATTTCGTTAGTGGAAATGCTAAAAAAATTAGGCTTACCTATAAAAATTATTGCGGCTAAGGCCAGTTGCTTTAGAAGCGGGCCTATCATCTTAAATTGCTAAATAAATACTCTCCGTTTAAAAAATAAAAATTTGGCACAGCCACGCGGAAGTTGCGGACTTTCGATTTGTTGGGTGAAAGAAGGCACGTTTAGGCACGCAAGGGCTCCATTCTGGCAATGGAAGTGGAACTTAGTGCATTGACTTCATTTCTGTATGTAGCTTTCCTGCTGCTTGCATCACTCTTTCTCTCTGAAACATAGAAAAATAATACACTAAATTAAAGAAAAATAAGCTTAGCAGTAAATAGTCGTAAATTTAAAGTTAAATTGTTAACTCACTTGCACGTTTCTTAATTATTTTTCCGCAGACGCGTTTCAGTCAGTGCGGACCATTTTCGATGCTCGATTGCGACTCCGATTTCTATCAGTGTAGTACTCCTTCTACCAAAAGTAACTTACCAAAATATTTTTATGAAAGGGGAAAAAATATATTTTTTTTTTCGTCTTCTTTTGGAAATCTGTTCATAAGGAGTGGCAAATTTTCACCGGGGGCAGATATCTCTATTAACTCTTTGCTATCCGTGCTAGGGAAAAACGTCAAGCGAATATTTGAATGTTTCCAAATTTTCTCCGATAAAATATTCATTTTGAGGAAAATTGAGAAGATTTTTCCTTAAAACTTTCGGATACTCTACTTATTGTTAGTTCAAGTTGCAAATAAAAGTCTTTAAAAATTTGAAGAAAATTCCCCGCGAGTTTTCCAACTTGGTGTCTCATCAAGCGGTATCGGCCAACATGGAACGGCACCATTGAGTACATAGAGTCGTAATGTAAAAGGGAGAGCTGGCGCCATGTTCTGCTCGACGAATTCCGAGCCCGGTGTGCGCCGAGTTCGGGTCGCTTTTTCGATACATTTTCGATCCAAAATGGCAGTGTGGAATACGTGGTAATTCCTATCTCCGTTGTTGTTGTTGTTGTTGTTGTTGTCATCGGATGGCCGGGTACCCATGTATCGCAAACAATCGATTATGTATCGAAAAAGTGACCCGGCGTCACACAGGAGTCTCGGAATTCGGGACATGGAAAATGCTTAAAAGTGGCGCCAGCTCTCCCAATGGACCACTAGACAAGGGAAGAATTTCAGGATTCTGATACATGTTTCCTAACAAAAATTTCACGTAGAACACGATGCGCACAACAAAAAATACTGCAATTGACTCCTTACGAAGATATTTAATGATTCATGATGCGTGAATTCAAACCACCCGCTCATAAAAACTCAATGCTATACGTGATTCACATCGCGCACTAAACATTATCATGACAGTCTCTGCGATGTAAAAGTCTGGCAACCTCAATCTTGACGCTTTGGCTCAGCTATAGTAAATTGCTTATAGTTTAAACAACACATGGTAGGAAATGAACATGGCTCAATTGAGAAGCTTGCTGAAACCATTATAGTGCGCGATTTGACTCACGTAGAGCTTTGAGTTTCTTGTGAGCGGGCAGTTCAAATTCCTCGTAACCAATGTGAAATAAAAACGTTAATATCTCCGTTAGGAGTTGGTTCCAATAATTTTCGTTGTGCGAATCGTGTTCTACGTGAAATTCTGGTTAAGAAACATGTATCAGATTGCTTAAATTCGCACCTTGTCTAGTGGTCCATTACATTACGACTCTATGTACTCTATGAACGGCACATGCGGCGTTCTTCCTCAGCACGGAAACAAACATCTGGATTAGGGTCTAAAATCTAACTGATTGCCAGAAAAAGAAAAGGCGAAAACAACATAAGAAGAATTCGTTTTAAAAAGCTGTCCACCCGCACCTATGGATAACACTTATATCGTAGCATCGAGCTTTCAAGTATACATGGTATTATAATTCTCAATTTCGGACGGAGAGAGAAACGTAAGATATCTAATAAGGAAGTGTTAACTTTGAAAGAAACTTGATAACGACATTTCAATATAGAATCAACCCGACGTATTTTTGTCACATACTAATAATTCAGAGGAAAAATTCTTATGCATTATAAACTTGTTCTTTTTTCTTTGAGCTTGGCTATAAACCTCAAGTGGACATGGCTATCAATGTTCTCTTGTAAAATGCATCCAAATCATTCTGATTGCATAACCTTCCCACAACAATTAAAAGAAAAACAGACACTTTAACCTAAAATGGGGCATCTTTGCACGCTTCTAAATGTAACTAGCCAAGCAAGTGATGTGGTTAAAGTGCGTCTAAGTCGACCGTGCGTATTACGATGAGGACAATAATTGCGCCGTTTTGAGTAATAATTATCGAGCAGTCGACTCGTTCACACCTATTGTTTTACTCCGTTCGCATCAAAATGAAATGTTTATGTGCATTCGCTATAATGTCCATTCAGATCCTTGATTCATTCTGATTCTTACGCAATACCTGCATACATTAACATAACTTTTGGCAGCGGTAGGTATGCGCATACGGAAAAACTATCATCGATGATTTGAAAAAAGCTTGCTTCTGGTACTATCAACTCATTACGATTAAGATTGTTACCACCACAGATTACTTCCAAGCTAAAAAAATTAGGATAAAAGCGAGAATTCACCCTCTTGGAGATTCTGAGTGACCACAGCTCGGCATGAACCTTCCGTAATTAATTTACGTACCCATCCTAAATTCAAGACGTAAAGGACAGGACGGACTGGCTTTCAGTTTTCCGGGAGGTAGACCCCGCTGAAAAGAGGAATTTGGGGCCCCTGTTGAAGAAGGGGCTCGTGTAAAATTTGTTTACAAGAAACAAAAAATCTTCAAATTTTAGGAATATATATTCTTCTTTATTCAGAGGGAATCTGCAGAAAAGTTCAAGACGTTATGTTGTTTAAGCCAAAATACGAGAAGAAATTAGGCCATGAGTGATGCAATTAAGTCAATTCTGGTCAAAATCCATCTGATTTCCCGACAGGAAGAAAAGCGGCTATAACTAAAGTACGTTGTAACGGTACAAGATAATAAATTCAAACCAGGAAACACGCCTGGACTTTGCTTTTAAAAGATTTCTACAGAAGGATTTTTTCAATCGCAATTTTTTTTATTTACACTCTTAACATTGAGCGATCTGAAGATAATTTACCATCATTCGAATCTTTAAACAACAAACTCACCACCTTATTTGCAGGAGAGAGTTACTGCCGAAGAAAAACTATTCAAAATACATAGCGGTGAAATCGAGAACTCTACGTTTGGCAACACGGACCAGGGCGGCAAAAAAGCAGAGCATTGGGTCAGCGATTCGGATCGGCAACTTTAAGTTAGAGCTTTCGCATGGCGATCCTTTGTCCACGTTGCCATATTGCGTCATCAATAAATGCAAGCAACAAGGTATATTTGGACTACATTTTGCAATTTGTAACTATAAATTCTAGCCCGGTTTAAAAACAACGTATGTGCCATAAGTTTCCCTATGCACACAAGTGTTTTTTGAGAAGAGCCAGAATTTATAGTTCCAAATTGCAAAATGCAGTCCATTTACTAAACGTAGGACCATTTTTGGACAGCTGGTTCAAGGAGTTCACTTCCGTGTAACTCCTTCATGGCATGTAAGAATTAACTGTTTATCATCAAAGTCTCCTTCCAAGACTTGTAATTGGCTCTTTTTTATTACTTTTTTGATACATAATTATAAATGCATTTAAATGCTAAGGGTTCAAATTGAAACGAGTGTTTCGTTACCTATTAGAGAATTTACGGGGTCTGAAATTTGATGAATTTCGTGATTCAATGGAAAATACTGAGAGAACTGACCGCGAGGATACCTTTGGTTTATAAATTGAACAATTATAGGAGGAGATACCAAAAAAATTACTTAACTCGATAAAATACGTACGTTAAAATTGGAAATGCCGCCAGATGATGTCACTAGGTGGTGCGTTTTCTCACATTTAAATATAATTTTATACTACTTCCAATTTCAGAGAAAACTTTTAGAAATACTGCGAAATCAGCTCTCTAAGCACTCTTCAATGAAGCAATACAGAATACAGCTGCGTGCAAATTATCCAAGGCCATGGTTGGTAGGCTAAGGCGCCACTTTAAAATAAACGAATATTACAACTGATTTTCTAACATAAAAATGAAACATTAGAGAAAATTAGACGTCTGATGTAGGTAGGCTAGTTTTGATTAAATACGTTCTTTCCAGTTCAAGAAAGAATGCGTTCATCAATCAACAAGGTGTCTGCTAAAAAAAGCTGGCCAAAAATCAGTACTTTTACAGTACTTTTTCAGTACAATCCCAAGAAATTCCGTATCTTCTTAACAGAAAAATTCAATACTTTTTCAGTAGGTACCACCAATTGACAAAATTCGATAAATTTCAAAAATTTGAATTTCTCGCTTAAATTGCTACAAAAATGACAAAAAAAGAAAAAATCCCGGACCTTCTTGCGGAATTTCCGCACTTTTTCAGTACTTCTGGACCGCCCTAGAAAAATCAGTGCTATTTCCGGACTTTCTGGAAATTCCGGACTTGTAGACACCCTGATCAAGCCTCCGGTGCTTAGAAGGAACTCAGCGAGATATTGGGAGACGCGGCAACTTGAACGACAATGTTTGGATTTCACCTCGAGTGATGTGAGTGGCATACCAGATCGAGAGGCAAAAGGAGCTCACAGCCGGAGAGCAGTTCCACCCGAGGAAGTATCACTTGCGAATAAGTGCAGACCCGACCGGAAACCGCCGCAAGAAATGAATTGCAAAGAGAAACCAAGTAAACCAGATGACAGAGGGAAAGGCCCTGGGCCAACACAAAACATTTCGGACCTCCAAAACTAAGCGGGCCGACTTTCCGAGCTTCCAGTGTCGACGTCACTACACGTCACCAAGTCATTAGGGCTGTGAACTTTCCCGATAAAATGTTGTCCGGGGTCTCAGAAAGCTATGGTATTGCTTGTTTAAGTATTAGGCAAGAGAAATAAGATATAAGGAGAGGTAGATAGCAGGGAAAGAGGCAGTGAAATTAGAGAATATTGCCACGAATAATTGCAGTTAAAAAATTTTGTGGGCTCTTAAACAGCTTTTCCTCATACACGAACACGAATCGTACTTTTCTTTAAATTTTTCTCTTCTTGTCTTTAATAGTTTTTCTCCCCCGCAAAACTGTCTCATTAAAACAAGGCGGACTCCTTCAACGGCAATGTTCGGTACACCGTTTGTTGAAATAACTCAAGGTTTTGGGGATTGGAACCAAAGATAATACCAGTC